GGAGCCCAGTGCGGTGCTCAATCCCGGGACCCTGGGATCACAACCTGAGCCGAAGGCAGATGCTTGAAGGCAGATGCTTAACGACTGAGCCACCCAGGCGCACATAAATTTTTTTTAAAAAAAGATTTTATTTTTTTTTTGAAAGAGAGAAATCACAAGCAGGTGGGAAGGGCAGTGGGCAGGGGCAGAGGAGAGGGACAAGCTGACTCCTTTCGATGTGGGCCTCGATCCCAGGACTCCAGGATCATGACCTGAGCGGAAGGCAGATGATTACCCAACTGAGCCACCCAGGAGCCCCATTTTGAAACTTTTATAGATTGCACTTTGGGTGTCATATCTAAGGACTCTTCCTAAGCCAAGTTCACGAAGATTTTCTCATTTTTAATTTATTTATTTTTATTTATTTAATTAAAGATTTTATTTATTTATTTGACAGAGAGAGGGATCACAAGTAGGCTGAACAGCAGGCAGAAGGAGAGGGAGAAGCAGGCTCTCTGCTGAGTAGGGAGCCTGACTCAGGACCCTGAGATCATGACCTGAGCTGAGGGCAGACGCTCAACGAACTGAGCCACCCGGGCGCCCAGATTTTCTCATTTAAAAAAAAAAAAAATTTACTGTTAGGTTTTACTTTAATCTATGAGATTCATTTTGAATAAAATTTTTATAAGGTGTTGAGGTATGTTCGAGGTTCACCTTTTTTCTCTTCTCTTCTTTTTGCATATGGAGATCCAATTGTGAAAATCCCCTTTATTAAAAGGGTATGGAATTGAATCCTTTCTCCATTGAATTGGTTTTGCACCCGATCACAAATCATTTGACCGTATTTATATGAGTGTTTCTGAACTGCCTCCTGTTCCATTGATGTATGTTTTTTTGCCAATACCACACTGTCTTGATTACTGTTCCTTCATACAGTAAGACTTGACTTAGAGTTGTGTGCAACTTCCAGCTTTGACCTGACAATTCTGGCCTCCCCTTTTACTCAGTCTGTCTATCCTTTTGTTTTATATCAATGTGGACTCACAGCTTGTTATTTTATTGCTGTCATTTAAGTTTTTGCTTATGTTCTAGATTTGGCCAGGGGAGACATATCCCATCATTCTTTGAACACTTCCTTACCTTCTGGCATAGCAAGATGTTCTGGGGTCCTCTTGTCCATTTCCTGTCCTAGTCCTGGGATCAACCATTTCTCCACGGACACCTGGTTTCTTTTATAAGAGAATGGTATTTAGAATCAAGATCTGGGAGCTAGATGTGCACATTATTGCTGGATTGCAGCAAGACCCTCTCAGTGGACATTGAAAACTATGAGTTTGCACTGTTAACATCCAATCCTGCCCAGCACTACAGAATTCTTTCTAACCCCCCCTTTATTTGTAACTCTTTCACTCAGCATAATTACTTTGAGATTCATTCGTATGTTTAAATAGTTCATTTTTTTTTTTTTTTAGAGAAAAGTGGCCAAGAAAAATTATTCCATTGAGTGGTATGTCACAATTTTAGGAAATTGCCAGACTTTCCCCCCAAAGTGATGGTACCATTTTACATTCCAACCAGCAGTGCACTAGAGTTCTAGTTCCTCCACATTAATTGCCAAACCTTGATATTGTCTGTCTTCTTAATTTTATACTCCTAATAGGTTTGTTTTGAAATCTTGGATGGTTTTAATTTGCCTTTCTAGATTGACTAATTTTCATAGTTTTCTATTCCATGTACTTATTTGCCATTCTTACGCCTTCTTTGGAGGCATGTTTATTCAAATTTTTTGCCCAATTTTTTTTTTTTAACAGTATCATTATTTCTTAATGTTGAGTTTTGAGGGTTCTTTATAGATTCTGGATACAAGGCTTTATCAGATACGTGATTTGTAATTTCTCAGTCTTTGGCTTGGCTTTTTGTTTCCTTAAAAGGGTCATTTGAAGAGCAGAAGTTCTTACTTTGGATGAAGTCCAGTTTGTGGATTTTTTTCTTTTATGGATTGTGCTTTTGGTGTTTTATGTAAGGTCTTTTTCCACCTAAGTTCAAAAAGGTGTTTTTAAAATTTTACGCATTTATTTATTATTTTTTTTAAGATTTTATTTATTTGACAGAACAAGCAGGGAGAGGGAGAAGCAGGCTCCCCAAAGATCAGGGAGCCCGATGCGGGGCTTGTTCCCAGAAGCCTGAGATCATGACCCGAGCCAAAGGCAGATGCTTAACCAACTGAGCCACCCAGGTGCCCCAAAAAGATCTTTTTTTTTTTTTTAATTTATTTATTTATATTAGCACATGTGCATGAGCAGGGAGAGTGGCAGAGGAGAGAGAGAATCTCAGGCAGGTCCCCTGCTGAGCGAGGAGCCCTACACAGGGCTTGATCTCACGACCCTAACTAAGATCATGACCTGAGTGGAAATCAAGAGTCGGATGCTTAACCAATGAGCTCCTCAGGTGCCCCAGAAAAGGTTTTTTCATGTTTTCCTCTAGCAGTTTTTTAACTTCTGGTTTTACATTTAGTTCTATCATCAGTTTTGAGTTAATTTTTATATATTTGTATATGTAAAATATGGACCCATGTTAACTTATTTAAATATGAGTATCTGTTTGTTCCAGCATCATTTGTTAAAAAGATTCTTTTTCTCCATTGAATTTTGCCTTTGCGACTTTGTGGATAATCAGTTGATCCTGTATGTGTGGTTCTGTTTTTGGACTCCATTATATTAATTTATTTCCCTGTATACCAGTCCAACACTGTCTTGATTACTGAATATAACTAGTTTTGATTCAGGTAGATCTTCCAGTTTTGTTCCTTTTCAAAGTTATTTTGGCTGTTTAGGTACTTTGTGCTCCTGTATGACTTTTAGAATGTTTTTCAGATCCCTAAGGGGAATAGGGATATGAAAGGGATATTCTTTAATTTGATTTTTATTAACTATTTTGGTTTTTACTTTTTTTTTTAATTCTGATCTTGTTCCCTGCAACTTTGTTAAACTCCTTTGTTCTAGTAACTTTTTGTAGATTTTCTACACAGATGATCATGTTGTCTGTGAATAAGACTTTTTTTTTTTAAGATTTATTTATTTATTTGACAGAGAGAGACACAGCGAGAGAGGGAACACAAGCAGGGGGAGTGGGAGAGGGAGGAGCAGGGAGCCCGTGGAGCAGGGAGCCCGATGCGGGGCTTGATCCCAGGACCCTGGGATCATGACCTGAGCGGAAGGCAGACGCTTAACGACTGAGCCACCCAGGCGCCCTGTTGACTTTTGAGTTTTAATTTGAAATACAGCAAGGTTGTATATCGTGTGGGGTCCTCCCCACATACATCTTTGTTGATTTTATTTTATTTTTAGATTATGTGTAGCAGTAACATTTTTCTTTTTTCTTTTTTTTAAATGTTTTATTTATTTATTCATGAGAGAGAGAGGCAGAGGCAGAGGCAGAGGGAGAAGCAGGCTCCCCGCCTAGCAGGGAGCCCGATGCGGGACTCGATCCCAGGACCCTGGGATCATGACCTGAGCCGAAGGCAGACACTTAACCATCTGAGCCACCCAGGCACCCAGCAGTAACATTTTTCTGAAAGTCAGAATTATTTCCTATTCCTGTCTCTCCATCGTTTACACCCCGTTCCCACCTTGCCAGATTCATCGTGTCCATACGTTGGGTCTTTCCCTTCCACCATCCCATTATTTTTCCTTAAAGTAACTACCCCCTAGATTTTGCCAAAAATCTCTTTCTTTGTAAAACCTAGAACACATTGATAGATATGGCAGCTTCATAGAAGCAGGAATTCTTAAAGCAGGCTTTATGAGCCTTCGGCTCAGCTCATGGTCCCAGGGTCCCGGGATCGAGCCCCGCATCGGGCTCCCTGCTCCGCGGGGAACCTGCTTCTCCCTCTGCCTCTGCTTCTCCCCTTCTACCTGCTCAGGCGCACGTGCGGGTATGCTCTCTCGCGCACACACGCTCTCGCTCTCTCTTTCAAATGAATAAAATCTTAAAGGAAAAAGAAAAAACAAAGGTAAGAAAGAATACCTTTGGAAGTTTGGAGTGAGTGAGTTTGGGCCTAACCGGTGCAAAAGGCGTGTTAGTGAGCCTCTTATGTCTCGAATCCTCTGTACCTTTTGAAGATAACATTTAAATGTCTCTGATGTAGTGTGTGACTGTTGTTTGTGGTTAATCCAGTTATACATGTCAGCTTGACACATGCCACTTGTAAACCTTGGCCTACTATTTTGTATCATAGATTTTTAAGAATTTGAATGCATTTAAGAAGTTTGCTTTCAGGGGCGCCCGGGTGGCTCAGTCGGTTAAGCGTCTGCCTTCCGCTCAGGTCATGATCCCGGGGTCCTGGGATCGAACCTCAGAACCTCACGTCGGGCTGTCTGCCCAGCGGGGAGCCTGCTTCTCCCTCCGCCTGCTGCTCCCCCTGCTTGTGCACGCGCTCTCTCTCATAAATAAATAAAATCTTTAAAAATAAAAGTTTGCTTTAAGATTATTTTTAATGGTTATTCTTTAATAAAGTTGTTAAAAGAATCTTTGGATTCCTGTTGTCAAGTCCCTAAAAAGTTATTCTGGCAGAGAAGGGTAAAGGTATTCAAAGCACACATGAAGTATACATATTTTGAAAGAATCTTTGACGCTTCCCTTTTGGATGTCCCATGTCTGAAAGCAGAGCGTCCTAGTAAATAGTGCTTAAACCACTGGGTACTGTAGCCATTCTGCCTGAGTTCAGTCCTGACTCCGCCTCGTTCTACTAAATGACCTGTTTCGTTTCCTCACCTAGCAAATGAGAATAATAAACCTGTCTGTTAATAGTAAAGGGCTTGGAAGTAGGTACATTTTGGCAGACTCCAGGGCCACCCTCACCCTATGATGGTAATTGTGCAGGTTCCACTGGGGCAGATTTCAGTAAAAGGTGGGTGATGTCACCATATTGTGAGGAATAAAAGACCAGAATGGTGCTGTTACTCATTGCTTATTATGTCTGTTAAATTATAATAAGAATGTTCTTTTTTATTTTTCCCAAGCCAAACTAGCAAGACGCAGTCAAGAACGAGACAATCTTGGCATGCTGGTCTGGTCACCTAATCAGAATCTATCAGAAGCAAAACGTAAGTTTTAAAGGACTTTTATTTCCCCCCTTTCTTATTTAATGCAAAGTTTTAAAGTCAATTTTGTAGCTAAAAGTTCCTATACACGTTACATTTTTTTTTTTTCCAAAATAAGTGTGCATTTCTTTACTGTGGCCTGTCATAAGGACTTTAAAGATTGTTGACCAGTGGTTTCATAATCTACTTTTTTCAAAATGCTGGAGTTACTACGAGGAAAAGCTTAGATTGGAAGAAAATTATAATGCAATGTAAAGTTCCATCAGCTGGGAGTTGATAGATTTATAAATTTCTAATTGAAGGGTTACAAAGGGCAAATGTATGTTATTGGAAACAGGCTTTATTTATAGTGTAAGACTTCAGCCTAGCTAGAAGGAGAACTGTTGAATTGATTCTGTTTTATGAGTTTAAAGTTGTATTAGGATGAATACTCTGAGCTACTTTGAATCTTATTTTGAGGGGATAGGGGTCCTATAGCTATTAGTGATATTACTTGTATATTCAGAGTTTGCTTTTTCAGCTTTTATGTCCCCTCTGCTCAGATGATACCAGCAAAATTAATTTTAGTCTTTGGCATTTTCAAAGTTTTTATTTTCTTTATAACTTAAGAAAAACTAAATCCCCTTTTGGAGAATTTTTCAATGGGTGTTCATGGATGGAATTTATGGAGATTTGTGAACTTAGAAATCACATGCAAAGTTTTTTTGGTGTATGTGTTTGTTTTTCTGGATTTTCAAAGGGGTCTTTGACAAAAATAGGTTAAGAATCAATGCTCTAAAAAAGGGTAGGGCTTGGAAAGCCACCAGTGGTAAATGTCATCAGGAAACTGTTTAATTGTGAGTAAAGGCTCAGATTTTTAGGCTTTGATCAGGATTTCCCATTGTGTATTTTCGTATGAGAGGACACATATTAAATATTCTCCTCTTGTCTATTCAGTATGCATGTTAGCACATTTAAGGTGCACAGAGCTCATATGGTAAAGAAATAGGTTTAATTTTGATCAGGAAGGATTCTTTTTTTGTACAGTCCCCTCCATGGAACACGGGAAATTGATCTACTCTTAATGCTGAATTTAGCAGTAATAAAATAATCTCAGTCTAATCTGATTTTAAGAGTATCTTAATTTTGCCTCTATCAGGCTGCTGCTTAATGAGTTTATAATGAAGAACAGAATAACAAAAGGAAGTGTATTGGCATTTCTGATGTTTTCACTATGCTGGGAGAGACCTTTTAAGTATTTCCTGTGTGTTTATTTCCCCTTTGAGTACTTGCATTAACTTACAAAAGCAATCTATTCCTTTTTTGAATATACTCTTTTTAACAGAAAGCTGAAAATATGCCTCCCTGTAATTTTTAAAGCTTTACTTTCCTGAACTCTGCTAAATAGGTCTGCTTTCTGACAAGGCTTTCAGATGTTCAGTCTTCCCACCCCTTTTACCATCTCAGTCCAAGTTAAACCTGCCTGGTTGCTTCAGGTGTTTTTCAGATGATTTGGTTTTTGGATCTCTCTCTTGCACTACTGGTATGTTCCAGTTGGGTCAGACTGCCCATATGAAATGATGGTGCCCAGAACCGAATATCCAGAATCGTGAGCATTCGTTGAATCTTTATGCCAAGCCCTGCACTAAAATGCATTCACTCTTCACAGTTACCCAAGAGGAAATTTTTGTCCCCATTTTACAGATGGCATTCCACAGTTCAAAGGTTTGTGAAACCAACACAGATAATAAGTGGTGAAGCCAATAGCACTATCCAGGTTTGCTGATATCACCCTGATTCATGCTCTGAGTGCCTCTCTCTGGGAGAACTCATTAGCTCTCAGTGTTCCGTATTTCTGCCATGATCTTCTGTTCCTACAGTTCACAGTCGATCAGTGCCCTTTGTGATTGTATTACCTGTTGACATCTGTGGAGTCAAAATTTAATTTTGATATTCTCTTATTTTTCCTAGACCTAGAAGAAAAGAGCAGAATATGAGAAGTTAGTTGATTTTTAAACAATGGTATTGCCTAAAATAAACAGTTTTAATGTAAGCCTTTAAAACTTGAGACTTTTAAAACCAATATGGAAGTAACATTACTATATTGTTGAGAGTTCAGAAGATAACAGGAACTTTAAAAGAAGGAACGGCTCACACATTATTCCATTACCCAGAGATAACTGTTGTAAACGTTTTGGGATTTTTCCCAGTCCTCTTTTTTTCCTCTTGTGTGCATATTTATATAAGTGAGATGATGTAGGTGTGTATATGTGTCTGTGTATTGTTTTCCTGATACTGACCTAAGCATTTCCCACATTGTTAAATAACCATGTACATCATATGGGTGGATCCATGGGTTTATTAACCTTCTTCTATTGAAAATTTATGTTGTTTCTGACTTGTTGACTGTTGTAAAAGAAGCTATAGTGAAAAACTGAATCCTAGAGCTTTGTCCTCTTTTGTTTTTTGTTTTTGTTGTGTTTTTTAATCTTTTCTTCAGTAGAGCTCTAGGAATGGAGTGTGGATTATTGGGAACTTGCTCAACTGCTCAGGGGTGAGGACGTAAACATAATGCAGTGTCCTGACAAGTTAGGTTTTGCTTAGTAGGCTCCCGTTTGTGGAGCTTTGTAAATCATATGGTTCGTGACTCGTAGTCTAATCATAGTTAGGCCTTACAATGTGATTATAGTGTGAATGCGGACAGGGTACACAATTTTTTCCATTTGCACACCTACCATTTCCCCCTCAGCTCCCTTCCCCACGGTATATGGGCAAAAAAGAAAACTTTTCTTCTTGCCGTTCTTCATTTTCAGAGAATGTGTAAGTCTTGGTTGTCCAGCATTGATTCAGACTCCATGTAGAAATAGGAGATTTGGAACATGTATAGATTGCTAGCAGGTATCCCTCGTGTAAGGATGTCTGTAGATCTCTGGTTTTTCTTGTGTTGGTTTCTTTCATCTCAAGTAGCTGTTTAGAGCTGTTCCTCTTAGGGTTACTGCAAGTTTACAAAATTATTTTGTGGTTATTAAAATAAATGCTCTTGTAGAAATTTCACGCAATACAGAATATATAATGTAGACAGTTATCACCCTCTCAGTCACTGTGTATAATGTATGTACTTTTCCTAATTTTTTTTTAGATTATTTATTTATTTGAGAAAGGAGAGAGCAGAGCGAAGGAGAGAGAACACAAAGTTGGGGAGGGGCAGAGGGAGAAGCAGACTCCCCGCCCAACAGGGAGCCCAATGCGGGTTTCGATCCTGGGACCCTGGGATCATGACCTGAGCCGAAGGCAGACGCTTAACTGACTGAACCACCCAGGCGCCCCTCCTAATATTATAAATTTTTTATCATGAAGTATGAGCTTTTCAGCAGTTTTTAACTATATTTGGGACTCTGTTTTATCTCAATACATTTACAATTACCTAGTTTTTAAATAACAAGTATTGGGTGTCCCATAATTTAGTCTTTTTTTTTTTTTTTTTTTTTTTACAAAATTGAACTGTAGTTGACACACAATGTTATGCTACTTTCAGGTGTACAACATAGTTATTCAGGAAGTCTGTACATTACGCTGTGCTCTCCACAAGTGTACTCCCATCTGTCACCACACAACACAGTGCCACTGACTAGATTCCTACACTGTACCTTTCATTCCCATGACTTACTCATTCCGTTACTGGATATTTGAAGTCTTTCAGCTCTTCTTTCTTTTTTAAACTTAATTATTTTTTAAAGTTTTTATTTTAATCACACAGTGTTCATCATAAGTGCACTCCTTAATCTCCATCACCTATTTCACCCATTCCCCCCCCCGCCCCGGTAACTACCAGTTTGTTCTCTATAGTTAAGAGTCTGTTTCTTGGTTTTTAAGCTTTTTAAAAACTGTGGGGAGGGGCGCCTGGGTGGCTCAGTCATGAAGCGTTCAGCTCAGGTCATGGTCCGAGGGTCCTGGGATCAAGTCTCGTGTGGGGCTCCTTGCTTAGTGGGGAGTCTGCTCCTCCCTCTCCCTCTGCCTCCCTCTCCCTGCTTGCATTCTCTCTTTTTCTCTCTCTCTGTCAAATAAATAAATAAAATCTTAAAAAAAAAAAAAAGCTGTAGGGAATGATAAATCCCTAGAAATAGAGTTCCTAGGCCAAGGGGCAAATACATTATTTCTTCTTTTTTCTTTTCATTTTTAAAAACAGATTTAATTTCTAGAGCAGTTTTAGGTTCACAGCCAAGTTGAATAGAAAGTACAGAGATTTCCCATATCCTTCTGCCCCAACACATGCACAGCCTCCCCCATTGTGGACATCCCCTATCAGAGTGGTAAACTTGTTATCAGTGAACCTACATTGATGCATCATTGTTACCCAAGGTTCATAGTTTACATTCGGGCTCACTCTTGTACATTCTGGAGGTTTTGACAAATGTATAATGACACGTATTCACTGTTATAATGTCATACTGAAAAGTTTCCCTGCCCTAAAAATTCTCTGTGGTCTGCCTGTGCGTCTCTCCCAACCCTGTAACTCTTGGCAACTACTGATCTTTTTACTGTCTCCATAGTTTTGTCTCTTCCAGAACTGTCATATAGCTGGAATGGTGTATTATGTGGCCTTTTCAGATTGGCTTTTTTGACTTAATAATAATATACATTTGAGTTTCCTCTATGTCTTTTTCATGGCTTGATGGCTCATTTTCTTTTTGGTGCCGAACAGCATTCCATTATCTGGATGGACTGCAGTGTGTTTAACCATTCACCTGCTGAAGGGCGTCTTGGTTGCTTCCAAGTTTTGGCATTTATGAATAAAGCTGCTGTAAACATGTATATGTGGGTTTTGGTGTGGACATAAGTTTTCAGCTACTTTGGGTAGATACCAAAGAGGAGGATCGCTGGATTGTATGCTAAGAATACATTTAATTTTGTAAGAAATTGCAAGACTGTCTATTTGATTTGATTTGAGAGAGAAAGCACAAGTGATGGGGAGGGGCAGAGGGAGAGGGACCCTGGGATCATGAACTCTGCAGATGCTCAACTGA